TCCCAGAGAGGCAGCCTGTACCAGCTACCCCACAGCTGAAATAACAATATGCATTAAATCATTTTGCAAACTTCAATTACCATACCATCAATCAAGACTCGGTAACAACAGAGCATGAAGAGCTTACCAGTTCAAAAAAAGACAGATTTTAATGACTGCATTTGATCATTTTTCAAAATCTTATTTAAAAGCATTTTTTTATCTTTAAAGTATTTCATTTTTCCGAGATGCTTTAAACTGGACTCCATACAATGATCGCAATAATAAAATTACGTCTCACAAGAGGTCTTTATAGAAAAGCATTCCGGCATTATATTTCTAATTCTCTTTCGTTTCCGCCTGTATCGTTAAAGAAATTCAATCATTTACACTAATTTGGATCTAGTTTAAACAGATAACCACCCCCTACTGTTCGGACACTTTGAAGGAAAGGGCATTTGCTATGTATTCTTCCTTCGTCTGGATGCCACTGCTGAATTTAATTAAATCACAGAACTTCAAATGGTGTGCATTCCAATTACTCAGTGGTTTGATGTACAGCAGTTTATTGACTACACTTTAGCAGTCAATGCAATTTGAATAACAGCAGGAGGATGTCTTTTCCATTTTGCCCTCCACTGTTTCTTAAGCCAAAAGTAAAGGTGCCTTCATTTCTGGTTTGATAAAGCCAGCAGATCATAAACCTATCGTTAATTATGATAATTCCACTCAAATCTTAAAAAGCACACTGTGCAAAATGTTTACAAAAAACAATTCCTTGATTAATCCTTTCCTAATTGATACAGCCAACAGTTCATAAAACAGTAATTTTATCACTATGATGCATCAGCAAAGGAGTGAATACTCACACTAACATTCTCAGCTTAGACAAAGCACACTGCATGTACTGCATGTGAAATAATGTTTTAATAAGCCACATCATACACTTTTTAAGTGTTTAGACAAGTCTATTAACACAATTCAATCAAATACCTAGTAAATGTCCAAATTCCTTATATTTATCGTTTTCTTAGGCCTTCATCATATGGGCATATTTATGTATACAGCATACTCATACTCATTTTATTATTGACTATGAGTTTAATCACATAACGGTGACAGTATCCTGAACTGGGCTGGTTGCCTGTTAGGCCTTTTTCAGGGCCAATACAATTCCAGCCTAGTAAAGCTCTAGCTTTATCTTCTGAGCTTGCGCTACATTCCCAGGTTTACAAAGCCTTACAAGAGTGTGTGATTAACATCAGCTTACTACGGACAGTTCTGAAAAACAACTGCCTACACAGACAGCTCTGTTTAGCAGCACATAAAAAGGACTCTGCGTCATCTGACAGCTGGTTTCTGTAGTTCTAATTACCACCCAAGTCTGAATCTTTAGCTTCAAACTTGCTGCCTTAAGGAGATAATGAGCTAAGGAGAAAAATATATATATAAACTTTCCCCAGGAAAGTAAGTGTCTTCGTCACTCCCAACTGTGTTGAGAAAGGCTCCCGCTTTGCACAAAGAACAAAAAAAAAGCCCTGAGGGATGGAAGGGAAAAAAGAAGACAACAGCCACTCCCCAGAGGATGAGTTGCAAATCACAAAGTCATGTAGAAACATGAAAACGTACTCCTTGCACTCACAATCTGCCATAAAGATGATGTCTGTATTGATGAGCTTTAATGATTATAATGCATGTGAACAGCTGGGAGAACAAACTGGTTTCTCTTCCAGTGGTCCTAAACCATTTCTCTCACAAAAAGCCAAAACCTGTCAGATAGCATTTTGCAGTCATGTAAAGAAAGAACAAAGGTACACTTGATGGACACGTCTTCAGCCCAACAGAATTTTGGAAGTTGCAGCCTGAGAGGCTTAAGATATTAATCAAAAAAATATTCCCAGAGCCAACAAGGAACAAGCCTTCAATTTGATCCACCTTTATAGAATAATGCCTCTCAAAACTGATAAGATGCACCTTCTCTCCCCATGCCTTCATGTACAAAAAGTTAAATAGATGATGCACCTTGAGAGAAGGTGGAATAAAATGACTTCACCTCCTTGTTTTTTTCCAATATATTGGAATTAGCCCAACAGGTCAATTTTCAGCACAATTAACCTCAAGGCACCTTGTGTTCTAGACTCAGAACCCTGAATATCAGTCACACCAGACACTCAGCGCACACTTTGCAGTGAAAGGTCATCGTGAACTGTCGTCTGACTTTAGGAATAGCAACAAAAGTTTCGTAAAAAAATTGGACAAGCAACTCCATACTCTAAATCTAAAAAGGTTAAACTAGCAAATGGTGTCTTCATGAGCAGTCTGGGCACAGAGCACGGCTAATGACTGCGGCATCTGGCAGGGAAGAAGTTTCCGTGATTTCTTTTAACTTCAAGGCCTCAAGGCCAAGCCACAACATTATGAATAACATATGCTGAGCAATCGTGTAATTATATACCGATCGCTGCCTTTTCTCTTAACCAATTTCCATTACATATCACATTGTAATTTTTATATGCATCTTGGTTTTAATTCACCGTGATGCAGCACAGGGAAAATTATATCTTGACTGCTTTAGGTATCTTACAGATTCAACAGAGTGAATTCTCCAGGTATGACCTGTTAAGAAAAGAGCGAGAAAAGCTGTATGCGCATATAGTTGAGGTCAACCAACGTTTGGTGGCGAATAATTATTTCCAGGTGTTAGAAAAAAGGCAACTACCTCAAGAAGCCTGTTCATGTCAATTTAATGATCCTGTACCCATTAAAGTCAATCATATGGATCAGCACTTCATTCTGAGTGATTTCCGTGACTTAGTGTAAGCTGAAGGTCTCCTTTAGTGTTGAACGGAGCTGCTAACTGCAGTATTTTCATCCTTTTATTTCCTGCTATTTCAATGAGACTTCTCTAGTTCAAATTTTCTTAAAATTAAAACTCCCTGTATTCTTTCCTGAAAATATATACACAATATTATATAACCACCTTCTTACAAAAATATAAAAATACTTGTACAAATGACTCATATAACATATAATTCAATTTTAAGTTTGCGATTGTTATATTTCAAGCTGTGTGATTTACTCGCTTTTTCTTCAGGTTTCCTTCTGTCAAAAATTCACATCAGTTCAGGGATAAAAACAAAATCAGTCTAGGAGATTTCACAGAAAATCATGGATCTGACATAGAGAATCTAAATAAATCCTTATACCTTGACATGGATATATCGATTTCATGTCCATAGGCATCGTAAGGGGAGAAAGAACATTTTTGTGAACTGTAAACAGATATGATTTTGATTTAGAAAGCTTGTTTCAGATCAAAATGTTGTAGATTTTCCAAATGTTTCAGCAAATTTAATTTCGGCAAAACCTGGCAAGCACTTTCCCATATACACATTCAACATCACAATATTGAATAGGTATATTCACAATAGGTTACATAGAGCTGTCTAAGATTAGCAAATGCTAATTGGACCATTTCTTACAGAAAAAAATGCTAACGTTTTTATGTTTTGCAATACCTTTTCAGTTTTACAATTTTTTTTACGGACCCTTAACCATACTAGCAACACTCTCTAGTGCTGATCACTTTTGTTATCTTTGTACTCTCTGAGAAACAAGTAAGCTAGATTTTGTCATTTCGCAACATCTCATGGCTGTAAAGAGGACCAAAAGCAGGAGCATGCCTTAAGGAGTAATACAGTACACTGACAGGCAGGATTAAAAGGTAAAGAAACTTTATATCCAACAGATATAACTTGTTTTTTTTGGCTGTAAGTAAGCGGAGCAGACATAAGTGTATCTTTCAAAAACTGATACTACCTAAAAGCTGGTTATGCCACTTTGGGAGGCTATAATAAAAGAGAACTGCTGGCTCTTAAATTGAAAACAGTGCTTTAAATTTGCTGGGAAACTCATTATGCTATTTACCATCTACACTAGTAGGCATTAGTATATCCCATGACAATGTTCTAATACTTTCCAAAAGGAGTGCTTCATCCATATACAGTACAAAAAGTAAATCAATTATACATATATTTTTCACCCATAAAAATAAAATACATCATTAAAAACATCATTAGGGGATGGAGCAGAATGCAACTTGATATTATAAAAGGTAGCTGAGGAGTCAAGAAGCCAACTGTTTTACTGGGTATTAACAGTACAGTGACTGCTAATAAATAGCAAGTTAGAGCATGACTGGGCCAAGAGCAAATGAACCAAATCAAATGACTTTTGCAGACATTTGAGACCACATACACAGGAGGAAATGTACAGTTTAAAAAATAAATAAGTAAAATTTAGAAAAAATATGTAGATTTCATTCAGGAATACATCTAAAGTGCACTTAGCAATGCTTCATATTCTTGTCATATACTCATTTTAGCTTTTACTTGCAAAAACGTGTGCAAGGATACTAAGAATACATATCTAATCACAAGGACAGCAGGGGTGTAATGTTTACTGGTGTTTAAGCAGTCTTTTGTAGCAAAAAATGCATTTGATCTCAACTACACTTCAAAAGATAAAAGACAACAGAAAAAGGAATACAAAACAAAAAGTAATCAGAAAATCTATAATGATTTTACAGAGACAAAAAATACAGCTGTCACAGGTCAGAGTGAGCCTTTCATTGCCTGAACAGAAGATAAAACATACACCTAATCCATGTTTTTGTAGATAAAACAGGAGAAAATGTAAATAAAAATTACAATTAAAAATGGTACCACATAAAAAAACACAAGCAAAAACAGTAATGCAAACTTAATACAGTATTAAATCAGTGAGAAAGAGAATTTCATGTTTACAATAGTCATTTAGTCCACTTGCTTCCAAAATAAGTAACTGTGTTGAGTTTCTATGACAACAAAAGTGTAGAAATCTTACATATTTGTAAAGAAATGGTTCTATTCTGTGTTATTTGCAGGAGTTCTGTTTACAGACCAACACAGGGTGATCACATTTTCAGTGAAAAGTGGATGTGTCACTTTGTATAGATGGCAAATCTCAACTGGTATACATACCTAATTCCTTTTTGGTACCCTTTCCACTTTCTCTGTTCTTCTTCAAAACTGCCTTGAACATTTTGTAATTGTTGAAAGCTTTAGTTTCCCCCTGTGAAAAAAAAAACAAAAATCTACTCAGTTAAGTTAAAAACAGTATAAATAACCAGAAAAGAACTTCAAACATGACTTCATACATTATGTTAAATGTCACTTCTCCAAACATTACTCAAGCCTTTTTTTTCCCCATAACTGAGCCACGGGATGTGTTTCGCATCTTGCAACAGCTAAAGTTTAGTGAGGAAAGAATGTTCTAATGTTTAAACTGAACGAACAAGGTCTTGCTATCTTGTTATATGGGAAAACAATCTGTTGGATTCTCTGCATTCCACATCTAATTGATGCTATGTGACTGAACTTGGGGTTTTCTGCGGAGTTAAAACTAAATTTAGATGGCGAATATTTTTGCATTTTGCGTGTGAAGACTGACCACAAGTGGCTGTCACAGAGAGGGTGAGAACAGATATAGAATATAGTTTGGATGTTAGAGTGTGCCAACAGAAATTTTGAAGCACAATAAAACAATGTAGCAAAATAACCCGGATTATATAAATTTTACGATTTGTCAGGAATATTCACACAAAAATCAGGTTCACCTTTTCATGACAGTTTCAATCAGGGTTTAGCAACCTATCTATTCCTGTCTTTTTTTTATAGTAATTCTATACAAACGTAACAAAGTGTGTAACTGCTTTCCACTGTTCTGCAAGCACAGTTCCCTGGTGCTAACACCATCTGCACATAAAGAACAGCCCTCTGACCTGCGAAGGACAGGGATTTCAGAAGACACTGGACTGCAAGTTCTTCTCTACAATACAGCTCAGCTCCACAGACAAAGACGGACACCCGCTTACTGATTCAAGCTTTTAACTCCAGGCTTTAACTCCAGAGACAGTTGACCTCCTGCGTCCACCATTTGTATTGCAGATTAACAGGGGAGAAACCAGAACGAGAGTACAGTACCAACAATCCGGCCAAAATTCAAAACACACAGCTGCTCTCCCCAACAGCTCAACTGACTGGCTGAACTGCGCACCAAGTTTCTACTTTCATTAAACTAGTGGTCCTTCTGCGTTTGTGTCAGCAGTGGTAGGGTCAGACAAGCATTTTAATTATTCAAGGGAGCTCCTGGCAGGACTTCAGAGTCCTCAGGAAGCACTGGACCGCAAAGTCCCACTCTGTGATTGGATGTGAAAAGCCAATACTTTTTCCATCTGTAGCAAAAGGCTGTAGAAGGTGCATTGATCTTGTGCTTCTTTTGGAAATTATGGTATAAGGTAACATTGCTTTAAGATAATTTAGGATAAAGGGATGGTTTAGGCCGTATATGAGATTAATGATTGAGTTTTATGCAATAAATCATAAATATGTGAAAGTTGAGCTCGTTGAACCCCACTCAGTTAAGCTTAGAACCCCCACTAATGCAGAATGTTGTCATGTGGTATTATTATAATTATCGTTGAAGAAGTCTGCAAACGCTGCAACCATTGATCTGTCTTTTCCAACATACAGAATTGTACAGATATGCAAATAATGAGGTTAACACCTATCATCAGACATGGAGTCTATGCAATTGCATTCAAATTCAACAACACACCAAGTCTGAAGTATTTGTATTTGTTCTTTAGGGGTTCAGATTCTGAAAAACAAGCATTTGTACTTATATGCTTAACAAATACAGTAGCTGAAACAATATTTCAAAGACACGTTCTGCTGTTTAATTCCCTTGTGAGGCTCATGCACCCACAGCTAAAATGTGGAGCTCACACCTCTGCCAACTGTCATGAGCTCAAAACACCTGCTAATGAAGTGACCATCTAATGAAGTGCTCTGATGCAGTATTTTAACTGCATCAGATAATTGCTTGTTAATTCTGAATAATTAAGATTTATCATTAGGCAAATAGGTGCTTGTTATTAGAAGAACTATTTATTAACTTGTCACATATAGGAACAGACCCATTTCATCCACCACTGATCTCAGTCACCTGTTTAACACATGGCAGCCAGTATATGCCGACAGTCCCACTACACAGTAAATCGGATGATGAGGCGAGGAATTGTGAGTCTTTGCTTCAGCAACTGAATTAAGAGGGTACTTCAGGTTGGTTAGACTCTCTACACACAGGGGAATTTAGCCACAGGATCTTAAATGACCAAGCTCTGAGGGATAAGTGCCTCCTACTGATTCTCCACTTAACCAGGTTGCTGCATTTTTATTTTGGAGATCTCTTATCCAAGTACTGACCAGACTCATCCTTGATTACCATCCAAGATATGAGATGAGGCTAGGACGCAGTCATCCTGCTTCCTCTACAGTACAGTGCATGAATGCGATTCACTGCTGTTAGTATTGGTAGCAGAGATGCGCATGTTACAACCTCTGGCACTTCTCAAGTTCATAGTATCAACAGCAGCAAATCATTTGCATTTAAATGTGTGTGACCCCAAAACTGCCTGCAATAGAGAGTAGAAGTGCAAATACCTGGAACATATAGATTTTAGATACTTTACAGAAAAGAATGCATTTACAGGACACAGGGATTATCCTTTCATTCAATTTTCTCTCAAGCTTGGCTAGGCTTTGCACTCAACTAGTATGTGTCAAACGCAATGTCCAAACAGAGCAAAGCAGTGAAGATGAACGGGCACATTAGACTAGAAATGCCCTCTGCCAAGGGGGCTGTGATGGAAAGAAGTAGATGAATAATTGGTACCCTTGATATTGAATTGCCCCTTTGATGATACATTAAAGTCAAACAGTAGGTTTGCCAACTGTGCTCAGAATGAATCAGCAGTACAGTACATCCACTGTGGGGATTTTTTAATTTCTATCTATCTGCTCAGAAACCATCTGTAAGGGCAACATAATGGGATATTTAACTGTCTTTTGAAGGACGCACTGTACTAAGGACAAAGGACCACATTAAGGGATCAGTGACTCTCCTTGCGTAAAGCGAGATTTATTAAAGAATCTATTCACGCTACCGCAGTACGATCTTTGGAGGCCTGACAAAAAAAAAAAGTGAAAGCATACTTGGGATGATTTCTAAAAAAAAAGGCAATTCAAACTCACAGGGAATAAGAATAAGAAATAAAGCAGTTCACAGTGCCTAGCACAGAGGCATGTCAAGACATCTTCTCTCACACTGTGAATCGCACACTGGAGAACAAACAAAGCAAAAGTTCAACTTGAGCCCTTTGGCTACAGAAGCTCCAAAAGGAAAGTAGCACTCTCCCAAAAAGGGCTTATTCAATTCAATTCAATTCAACTCCCTTGCAGGCTCTGCACCATGCCACCAATCCACTGTAAACTGGAGGAATAACCTGCGCCGGATATTGAAACAGCTTAAGGAAGCAAAGGAATTTCAGGAGGCTTATGCACCTGCAGAACTGGCCCAGATAAGGTCTGGTGATGGAAAAATGAAATGAACCCCCCGAAAAATGGGCTACCCCAGAGCTGGCCCCCAGTTGGGAAACAACGCCACAAAACACAAAACTCAAAGTGGCAGCTGGTAACGATTAGGTTTGTAAAAGCAGTCCCAGCTTGTCATCCGCTTTGGAAAACTAATAGCGGTACTCGTCATGTTGTATTTGAATATATCCAACAGGGATCTTGACCACTATGTTTACACCCCAATAGGACTGTTGATCCATAAAACCCCCTAAATAGGCCTAGAAACATTCACAACAAAACACGGTCTGATGGGTTCCTCTTTATAGAAAATGAAAAAAAAAATTACACTGCTTCTTATATCCTAAACAATTATGAATTAATGCGTTATAATTACGAGAGGAAGAGAATGTATTCAACCGACTATAAACCCTATTTGTCATCCATAACATGTTCAGTTTATTATAATTTGCTGCCTATTGTCTCTGTCAATGTTTTATGGAAAAATGCAGTTCAGAACTCTTAATTATAAATACTTCACAAAAAAATCTTGTAACCTAATGAACACCCTTTGTGTTGAGCATTATGTTGTGAATTTATCGAATGCAAGTATTTCAAGCTATTTAAAATAAAATTACAATGGTAGATGAACCGATGTGCAATTAAATATAAAACACTGAATCCTTTTAGGACAAATAATATACAAAAAAACAAGCACTGGAATGTAAATTCCCAATTTCCCAGTAAGGGCTTGAATGCACATTATTTTGTTCACTTAACTTGCATGAATAACAATAGTGCCCAAACTAGACATGGGATAAAACAGACATCCATGCATCCATTTTTTAACTGCTTCTTCCAATTCAGGGACACAGAGGGGCTGGAGCCTATCCCAGCAAGCAACAGGCAAAAGACACACCTTGGACAAGACATCGGTCCACAGGGGAGGCAGACACAAACACATGCGCACACAGTCACACCAGGGACAATTTTCCCAGAAGCCAATTAACCAACCAGTATGTTGTTGGACTGTGGGAAGAAACCAGAGCAGCACCTGGAGAAAACGCACATGAGTACGAGAGAACATACAAACTCCACACACCATCCCAGGTCCAGAATCGATCCCAGGATCAATACAGCAATGCTAACCACTGTGCCACAGTGCTACCTAAAACAGACATTACACATTAAATGAATTTTCTCAAGCAGCCATCTTAATAAAAGAAAACAAGACTGCATATCATCAAAGATACACTATAGTCCATCCAGCATTACTGCCAATTTTGCTGCCACTTAAGACGGAAGCACTTCAGGTGTTGAGCTAGAAGGCAGCTCTCCAGAACTCCTTTTAACCTCTGCACAGAGGAAACAAATAGCTCAACTGTGCATTGTTGGCCCTGGTGAACTGGCACACAGCTGTTCACTCCACATTATTACAGTATTACAGCAATTGACAACCTGCGCACATTTGAATCCCCTTTCAAAAAGACAGGAAGACGGCTGTGCTTCATTGTAATAAAGAAAGGATTAAAAGAGATGCCAGTGTTTTGTTCCAACAATTAAGATGAAGCAGTGTACTGCAACTATTCTGCTGCGCTTATCCACTCAGCAGATTCACAAATTATTTTGCAACCCAGTCTGCTCTCCTTTCCACATTTC